TTACAAACGACAATTATTAAAGATATTTGCATTTTTATGTGGCTATTTTTGCCCCTCACTTAGTATCCAAACACCCGTCACAATTAAACACAGCTATTTGGATAATGCTACAATATAGGCTGTGCCCAAATGACTTTTAGCCACCTTACTGGTGTGAGTACTTTATATTATAGGAATAGATGTCCTTTATAATGTGTATCAATGAATTTATTATGAATATGTGATCATCTTTTATACACGCTATCAATTATATTGTAAGTACACATATGTGATCATAGTAAATGAGGTCCATGAGCTAAGCCGAATTAATACTCGAGTTCAGACTCGAGCCTTATTCAATAAATATATATATTTTCAAGTCTTATAAACGAGTCAAATATAAATGAGCTTTAAACAAGCTCGAACTAATCAGCTCATTTGAGAGCTCATGAGGAAGAGTAGTAATTTAACCACCCCTCTTAACTATTTTTCAAGAAAAAAAAAGGAGTAAAGGTGCTGAAAAAGTATCAATATTCCATAAAAAAGATTCCACCAATAATTGTGCTCCTTTTCCGATCTACTTACGGTCACGTGTTAGCCAGCTCGTTAAACCAACAAAGATTTCAAGTATTTGCCTTACAAATTGGATCATTATATAATCTTTACGTTCTTAGATCAGAAAAAGAAAAAGGCAAGATCCAAGAATCTACGGTCCTAAACGTTTTACTTGAAATTTTAATGTTGAAATCATTATCATTAATCACCAAAAAGTAGATCCTAAAATGGTGGTCCCGTGACCTTTATTTTAAAGGAGGGCACGTGATATTTTGAGTATGAATCTTGGGGATGTATTAGAAAATACTTGGGATTTTGGGCTAATTTGCAAGATAATTCAGAAGTTTTTTTATGGCACATTGACCTCAACATTCCATGTATTTTACAGTTTCTTCCTTTAGTGTAAAGAAAAAAAAACTTTCTAACATTTGTATACTGTTGAGGCATTTGAGTTTAAATGGACAAATTCATAGGTGGGTGTAAGACATGAGGATAACAGATAACTGTAAATATTCATCTGCCTAATGAAGTAAATCAATTATATGACAAAATTTGAACAAGTTCCATCATTTGTTAAGAAAATATGTGAGAAAATCAATTTGCATATTTATGAAGTATTTTTTTAATTTGCAAATCACATTTACGATTTTCTTTAATTGCAAATATACCTTTTATGAATGATTAATTTATTATTTAATTACATCAATTGTTTCTAAATTGTATTGTTTTTTTAATTATGACTCGTTTATGAATGGTTACTTTTGATTTAATTTTGAATGATCTTATTTTTCCAAAAATTTTCAAACACTAAGTAAACATTTAAAAGAAAGAAAATGTAGGGGTAATTTTATGTTTACCGTGTGATTCTAAAATAATTGCAATCCTACCATGTTGTTACATTTTATTGCATCTTCGCCAAATAAAAAGTTAAACTGCTCCTTTAACTGCTCCTATAATTCAGTAACCGAAAGAATCACGATTAAAGAAAAAAAAATCTGTTCAACACTGAAAGAGTGACATTGAACACGGCCATGTTGGACGGACGACCCAACGCGATTTCTTTACGTGGCGATCTGCGGCTGAAGGCGACTTGATTCATCTCGGCGAAAATTTGATTCATTTTCTCGATGAGGTGTTGGTTCTCGGCATGGGCTTCATAGGAGGCGAGGTTGCTCAGTCGGATTGTGCTGCGAAGAACGAGGATGGTGACGAAGTCGCAGAGGATCGTCGTTGCAGGATTTGTGGATCTGCCTTCCATGGGGGAGGGCCGAGGCGGGGGCGGCGGCGTTTGCGGTGGAGATGGTCGTCGAAAGCGCGATGGAGGTTCGCTTTAGAACCTATCGGCGGAAAACAATAAAGTCCAAAAAAAATTTGGGTGCCTGAGTGCGAGTTACAGTATATTTTTGGTATATATATTGTATATTTGTCATATATATATTGTTTATAGAGTATGTTTGTGTTGGTTTTTGGTATATATACTATATATATTTTGTATATATATTGTTTATTGATTGTGTTGGTTTTTCAAAACTTCATATAGTATGTTTGTAGTATATATTCTGTATATATGTAGTATATTTATCCGGAACCAGTACTTACTTCTTTTGTAAATAAGCAAAAAATATAAAAAAATAATATAAACCAAATTCAAACATCAAAATTGTAAATAAAACCGCAATATAAAAAAATACCGACTNAAAAAAAAAAAAAAAAAGAAAAAGAAGAAGAAGAAGAAGAAGAAAAGGATACCGTGAAATGCGTATGAAGTTTGGTTTTAGCCAGAAAATCTGTACCTAGGATTTACTACTGATAAGGAAGTTGAGTTGAGGGAGGGGTCGTGGAGAGAGGTTGAGATTATCCGTGTAATATGGAGGTGGTTCTTTTAATTTTGGTAACTGCTTTCAATAAGTAGGATAATATATTTCTATTTCCTAGACTAAAACTCTCGTATGTTTGCAATTTAAAGGACATGATATGATAATTTTGCTAAAGCTTTTTATCTAATCGTAAGGGTGCAAAATAAAAGCTTAGGCCTCGTTTGTGAAATAATTAACTCAATTGAATTCGTGGTTACCTAAATTATAGGCAACAAAATCCAATGTCATTAACAATGTATGAAGAGAGAGAAACAAATCAGATGATATAAAATGCAATCTCGTATATATGAAATAAAAAATATCACATACTAATCCTATTTTAATTAAGTTTTGCACGAGCTGCATATATGTAAATATATATACAAGGGAGTCTATGTACGTAATTTTTTCTTGGAATTTTGTACAGAATACTGCCGTAGTGAGTGTGTAACGGGCTGACCCAATGTTCATAAGTAAATAGACTATTTTGGGCTTGGGCCAACCCTGAGAGAAGGAAATTAATCTTGAATCTTCACATAATTTTTTTCTTTCACCAGTCACGACAAGGCTGTAAATGAGCCCAGCAGAGTTGAGCTCGAGCCCTTAACGAACAGAGCTTGACTAAGCTCGTTATGCAAACTATCAATTATAAGTTCAAAATTCATTATAAATTACTAGCTAACTTAACACCAATTTAATGTATCAATTAATTTTTCCTTCTTAACCATAACCTATCACTTATAATTTAAAATTCATTGTAAACTATCAGTCTACTTAGCACCTATAAGCTAACATTGAGTTAGATTTACTAAAGATACCTTAATTCTTAATTCTTTGTCAAAACTTTTGAATTTTAGGGGGAAAATTATTAAAAAAAAAAAAAATAAAAATAAAAATAAAAATTACTCTAGTAACAGATGGCTCACTTTTGAATTTTCAACAGTCAAACAAAAGGGTATCTAACTTCAAAGCTCGAAACTCCAAAGAAAATTACACAATTTTGTAATTCGTTGTGCTTCTTTTCAAATGTCCAAATCTATGTGTGACCACAACAACTTTATAAATTATAATTGATGAAAATAATAATACAGAAAACATGTTTCCGTTGGACTGCCCACCACAAACGGTCACATAAACTTTGTTTATCATCTCTTCACTGTTCTTTTATTTTATTTATCTTTTTTTCTATTTAATGAAACATAGTCTATATAAATCTCTCAAAAACTCAAGTTATCTATCTATCTTGAAACAAATTTGCATTGGCAATGGATGAAAAAACCCTCAAAACCCCGACAAAATCCTCCACAGCCGATCCTGCAAAAACCGGAACGCCAGACCGGCTTAAGCTCCCCGAGCCATTCAAATACATCGAAAGGTAATATATATTAATATTGCACACGGTTTATCTATTTTTTATTTACTCTTTCATTTTAGCATATGAAAATGGTAAAAAAAAATAATTTTTACAGGTACACTAGCCCAACTGATCAAATGATGTCCCCTATCACAAGAAGAATTATTGCAAGAAATAAAAAGGGCATTAAGCTCTTGCCTCCTACTGCTTTTGCTAATCAGCCTAAGGTACTAAATAACATTGTTCTGAAAACCGGACCGGTCATCGAACCGGTGAAGCTACTGGTTCAATGGTTCACTGGTCGAACCAGTGGTCGAACCGGTTTAATTAATATATAATTTTTTATTTATTTTATATGTATAATATATAATTATATATATTTTTTATTGTTAATTCTATTAATTTTATAGTGTATGACATTTCTCTAAATAATAACTCAATATTAGATACAATCGACAATGTTGTTAATGTTTATATTTTTTTATTTTATTTTATTTTTTATATTTAAAGTTTTAATCTATATTTAAGTTACAAAATAGAAAGAATAGAAACAATCCTATTTTCATTTTAAATCATATTTCAATTTTTTTATTATTGCTTAAAACAAATAATGTACATAACAAACAACAATAATTTGTTTATTTCTTTTTTTATAATTTGGGAATAGATATAGCCCAATTGATAGTTCAATTTAAAAAATAGTTTTTAATGAGTACAATATTGTTTGTAAGGTCCAATATTGGCCTAATAATTTATCAAAGGAACATATCCCATATTGGAAACACAAGTACAAAAGATCTGCTATTTAAATCACTTCACAATCAACCAATTCAAAATTCAAAATCTTGAACCGTTGAACCATTTGAACCGGTCCCGGTTCACCGGTTCAACCGGTTTTGGACCGGTTCGAACGGTTTTTGACCGGTTCAAATGCTGGGCGGTTTGATGGTCCAAACCGAACCGGGATGAAGGCCGGTTCCCGGTCCAACCGGTTGAACCGGCCGGTCCGGTCCGGTTTTCAGAACAATGCTAAATAAAAGTCACATCAAGATTCAAGAATATATGAATTGGAAAAAAAAAAAAAATTGAAAGCCAATTTAAAAGAAAAATTGAAAGCAATTTAAAAGCTTCATAAGAAAAAAAAAAAAGTATTGATTTTGCAGATTGAAGGCCTACGACTTCAAGAACCAGGAATGTTCGAAAGCGGATAACAAGTGTTGAATTTCACGAGCTACTATCGGTTTTATTGCTTTGGTTATTTACTTGTTTAAGAAGAAATTGTTGTATTTCCACTACATTAAGCTCATCACACTACACATATATGAAGTTTATTATGACATATTATCATTTCATAACTTTTGATTGACATGTTATATAATATCATGTTTCAAATCAAACCTCATTCTTTCATATGTCATAAAATGCAGAAACTCGATATCTGAAAACATATGAATACTGTGTCGAAATCCGTTTTCCGTCTATATATGAAAAGAGTTTTATTGATTAGGTATTTTTAGTTTAACTCTAAATATGCAAATGCTCAATACAGGCTCATCTTGAGAAAAGAAATCGCGTAAAATAACATGTTAACAAAACTGATATACAAATTGCTAGTCACCAAATAATTATTTACAATTAGTTAATACAATCTGTTATTAAAATTCACCATCAGTTATTGACTGCTTATTACAATCTGTTATTAAAATTCACTATCAGTTATTGAATGCAAATGTAGAACCAAAAATCGCAAATTTGTGGCCGAGTTGACAATAATAAACTGATTTCCTACATTATAATATACTTTCAAAGCCAGCCATACCTCATAGGAAATTGGTAAACATACTAATAATGTAGGTAGATATATCAAGGAGGCTTCATATACAAAGGACATTCAAAAGCAAACTAAAAGGATAAACAGGGTTAATGGTAAGATACTACCCATCACAAAATAAACCATAATTCCTAGACTTAGTAACAAAAGGCTGGAAACTAGCAAATCATAAACACAAACCAAAATACCCAACGGTTCCGTTCCATCACAAATTAAGCCTAATAAACCAGAGATATTGATTAACCTGCATGCACACCATCAATGGCCCCGGGACTTGATCATCGTCTGCACAAAAAGCTTTGCCTTTTCAGCCTTCAACTCAAAAAGCCTCAGGTACACCTTCATCTCTTCAATCTCCAGATTCTCCAATGCCTCATCGTCCTCCTTATTTCCCATTTCCCCCTCCTTGTCCTCAACAGCTGGAACATCCCCTGAACCCCTCAACAAGCTTTCACTCATCCACACAAACCTCCTCTCACTACCACTTCCATTGCCTTTTTCGACCATGTTTTCTTTCTCACCAGCCGCATTTTCTTTCTCGGCCCCACTTCCATTGGGGTTTTCTTTCTCGGACCCACTTCCAATGCCGTGTTCTTTCTCGGCCCCACTTCCATTGGGGTTTTCTTTCTCGGACCCACTTCCATTGCCGTTTTCTTTCTCAGCCCCCCACACTTTCTCCGACAGATCGTAGGCTTCCCGCTCATGCTGGCTCGTAAAGGTTCTTCCTTTACCATCATGCTCCTTTCTCTTGTTATTCGTATACTTCTTTTTCATCCTAGAAATCTTATCCCTCAGCTGGGACCTCGTCGCCTCAATTTGCAAATTCTTCTTGATAAACTCAAAAAAAGCGTCAAAATTTTCATTCAGGTCGGATTTCTTCTGGGCCCTGAACTGGAGAATTCCGTTCAGGATAGTGATTTCGTCCGCCTCACTCCATATCCTCTGGAACGGTTGTTTCTTCTCGGGTTCAGCCTTCTTACTCTTCTTCGACTTCTTGGTGACAGCGGGCTCCGTCCCCTTATCCTCCTCGACGGCCCTCTTCCTTCTAGATCTGGCCGCTGAAGCGGAGGCGGCGGCCGGCGGTGGGGAAGTCTTCCGGATCTGTTCGGGCTCAGATCCGATGTCCTCAGACGAGGAATCGTCGGTTTCCTCGACGGGCTCACGGGCTTTCTTGCTGTTCTTTGACTTCTTGGTGACAGTGGGCTCCGTCCCTTTAACCTCCTCGACGGCCCTCTTTCTGGTAGATCTGGCCCTCGACTTCTTCGACTTGGATTTTTTTCTCGCTTTCCTGTCGGATTCGGATTCAGAATCCTGGGCGGGTATTATGGCGGAAGGGGTTTTGGGTTGGGGTTTCGTCGCGGCGGCCGGCGGTGGGGAAGGCTCAGATCCGATTTCCTCAGACGAAGAATTTTCGGTTTCCTCCTCGCCAGAAGAGATTCCGGAGGAGACGGGCTCACGAGCTTTCGCCATTTTACGGTGAGAAAATTATGATGTTAGGGTTTTTCTTTGGAGGAGACAGAATGAGAGTGGGGCGAAGTAGTGGTAAGTTGAAAAAGGTTTGGCTTGTCAAGTCTACGCGATGTTAATTATATAAAGTGGAGTTAGCGAAGTGTGAGACCCTCTTTTTCTTTTTTGGTACAAATAAGACCCTTTTTTTTACGAGGCACCTTCAATATAAATCAGTACAAATCATACACGGTATGAGATATTCATTAATATTTATAAATTAAAAATAATCACTAAATAATATTTTTAAATTAAAAATATAAAATTAATTTGTGATATTATTTACCTATATTAGTTTATAATATTATGAGAAATTTAAATATTACAAAATTACATAAAACATGTCTATTTAAAATTAGTACACAACCCGTACGGTGCACATAACTGATAATAAATTACATTATATTTATTTCAAAATAAGTGTCATTTTAAAAACTTTATACAAAAATCGATTTGAATATAATGTAGTTCGATAAAATAAATATTTTGATAAAATTATATCCTATATTTAAAAATTTATCTGAATAATAAGTATAATATTGAAAGATATATTTTTTCAAAAATTAAAATAAATTTATTTTTATATAAATTATCCAAATAAAAAATTTAAGTAGTTGAGTAATTTATTAAACTATAAATAATTTACTATTCTATTTACGTCCGAGTTAATATTGACCCGTAAGTAATTAATAATTGCTTATTTGCACTTTAAATTTAGAACCCAAATTTGGACTACACAACAAATCCCCTTATACATTATATATATATATATATATATATATATATTACTAATCTCAAAATTTTTTATATTTATTGTCGGTTACCTTATTGTTCAAATTTTTTATGAACTAATTTTTGAGAATTAATTACAAATTTTAAATTTTATTATTATTCAAAGATCTTTCTAATTTTCAAGAGGAATACATATCAATTTGTCGAATTATCATCAATAACTTATGGCAAGTTATATGAGAATATGTTAAAATTTGAGAATTGTATCACCTTTATTTTATAACAAATCAACCTAAAATTCAACTTTCATACTCATACGAAATAAAATTTATATCACTTATTTTATTTTCAAAATTTTCAAATACACTTCCATCCATACTAAATGAAATTAATACCATATAAATTCGGACATTTCATACCAAAATAAAAATCGCCCTCTTTTTATTCATCATAATACTCAACTATTATACTATTCTAAAATTTATGTCATGTATTAAGATATTTTTTTAAAATTAACCACCCAATTTTATTATATTCAAATATTTTGATATTTATAACAAACTAAATCTTATATTCTTTCTTAGAATCTGGAAGGAATATGAACCAAAAGCTAACCATCAGTGATAACAAGAAATCCTTTCTTACCATATACAGTGCACAAGAAGCAAGATGAGAAGAAAATACTAAGAAAGATAGGAATCAGAAAAGAATATGAACCAAAAGCTCAGACATCAGTGATATTAGTTTACCCAGAAAATCTAGCAGAACAAATAGCTTCAAAACATGACAAATAAGGACAATTCATCTCATGTTAGCTAATATTCATGGCTATACATCTGGTAAAAGCCCATCAATCCATCACTTGGTCATCATATTCACACCTAGAAACAGAACATAAAAGCAAACACAAATCCATCATCTGATCTACCATTCAACTTCTACACACCTCACTCCCATTTGCACTCAATTTTCTCCACATTCCTAAACCCAAAACTAATCACCAAGCTCCCATCCATCCTTTTCAACAAAAAGCTCTCAACCAAAACATAGCACCCGAATTTCCTCCACCCAACAACATCTCCCCCGACCTCCCGATCACCACAAACTCTCACGACCCTCTCCCCATCAAACCAACCCCTCTTCTCCTTCATCCGACTCATCTTCTCCAACAATGCACCACTCAAACCCACGGACAATACTCTCTTCGCACAATATTCTCTACTCTTAAACCACACGAACCCATCAACATCACGCCTACCTTCCCTCTCACCATCCATCCCATAAACCGAGCACGTCAACCTTTTCACCCTTGCATCAACAACCACGATATTAGTCCTTCGACTATTCATATCTTCATTTTGTACATAGTGTACTTCTTCCCACCACCTCTCGAGCCACAATTCGTACACCATGGATTCCTTCATTTGTTCTCTCGTCGTTAGCTTCTCCTCCTTCACGAACACAAAAGGACAATACCATCTTCCGAGCACGACTGGCGTGGAGCGTTTGGAGTGCAGTGGGGAGCTTAGCTCGGGACAATAGAACTCCATCGGGATTGAATTACTTATAAGGCCCGGAGATTCACGAAGATAGAGTTTTGACGATGGAGCAATATAGACTTCCCACCCGTCTCTTCTCAAGAAACTCGGAGGATAACCATCCCATTCAATTGATCTAGCGAAAAACCCACCTCCGGGGTAAGGTCGGATTTCGAACTGTTGGTATCTGTCTCTGTGATCGAATTGCCTAATTTTCGTATCCGTTTGTCGAGAGTTGAAGCAACACATTCCCTCGTCTCCCTCTCTTGAACACGCGTACGCTTGCCTATATACCAATAACAAAAAATATGAACATAAGAAAGTTCCAAATGTTGGTTGTTTGGCTGATTCTGGCTGTTGTCTAGTTGTAATTATGTGTTTTCTTTCATAAATTCTACTGTTTTAAGGAAAAAAAAAATATGTTGGCGAGAATCAACAAAGAGGTTTTTCGCGGCACGCGAATATATTTACAAAACAAACAAAACGATCTCGAAAAATTGAACAAGAACCAAAATTTAAAATACCCTTTATGCCTTCCTCTTGCTTTGACAATATAGTACCGGTTGACCGAGAGGGGTCGGTCAAGAACCGGCACGAACCACACGTTGGTGACGGTTGCTTGCTCGTGCATTAATGAGGAGTGAACCACTTGCAAGATTCTGTCAGAAGGGAAAGGGAGTCTCTTGATTTTGTCACTTCTCCACATTCCACAGCAAAAGGAATCCATAGACTCTGAGTCACCATCCGCAACTACTAAATGTCCCGAATACGGAACTTCCGGCTGTGTCTGAATTGAAAGTGTGCCGGGAAATTTGCGGTAGATCGAACGTGGTCTTGTTACATACATTTTCTTTCTTCTTTTTTTTTTTTTTTTTT